CCTGGGGGCTGAAATGGATTATGTCCCCTGGACTGCCGCGGAGAAGGAGCTGTCGTACGTCCGTAAAATGTTGGTCCGCACCCCTCTGTATGGGGAGTACAAGGTACGATAGAAAACGGGGTCAAATGGGCAAAAAAAAAAACCTGAACAGAAAACAGTAACTTCGAATTTTGAAAATTTGTTCTCCAAGTTATTCAACATGTTTTGTGAGTTGAGTGAAATAACTGACGTGGACGTATTAGGACATTGCAGTGTGAGAGTTTTTCTGCATGCATCCTTTATTTGCATTAGAGTGTTTGCAATTCTTATATTTACATGTACTTTGTTTTCTTATACGTTCTTTTTATGAGCTAAGATGAGCATTTTAAACTTGTAGCTCTAGCATTTTTGGAAAATGTTGATTTGCTTATAATTTTACTTACAAGGAAAATATATGCAGGTGTATATTTACCAAATCTCATACATAAAATCAGAAATTCGTGAAATACATAATTAACATTTTCTTACGATGATTATTTCTTGTAGAATTTCATGGCATCTCTGTTGAAGAAGCCATTTGGAAAACTTGGACTGGACAACTCTAATTCAAACCATCTAGAAATGTGAGTTCTTTTGTGCAAAACAATGAAAATACTTGTTTTGTACTCAGTTTTTTGAAAATAAAAATCATTGAAACAGAGAAGATAGAGCAAAAAGATAATATACAGTTTGATGTAAAAAAAATTATTTCCTATTGTTACAGCTATACACGATCAGATGTGGCTGACTTGGCCTGTACCTATGATGTCCCTGGCTGTAGGACACAGGTGAAGGCCATCTTTGACAAGTGGATGTCTAATCCGACAGTTAACCTGTAAGTATTTCATCCAATCCAATAGTAAACCTTTAAGTATTCTGACTACACAGAAGTAAAACCTGTAATTTTTTTCCATCCAATCCAATATTAAAACTGTCAATATTCCATCCAATCTGAGAGTAATGACAGTCCAATCCAACTTTAAACCTATAAGTTACCTGTCTAATTCAGTTTTAACACTTGATAGTGTTCTGACTTGTTATTAAAACTGAGCATTTGTATTACAGTGTCTTCAATGCAGAAACTATTTAGTTGCAGCAGAATAAAATTTTATTTGTTTTCAGTGTGGATCCGAATCTGAAGACGATGGTGTACTGTACAGGGGTCGCCGAGGGGAGAGAGTGAGTGGGACTTTGTCCTACAGCAATACAAGGACTCTACACTGGCCTCAGAGAGCAGTAGATTTCTGTACGCTGATGTCCTGCTCTAAACAAACATGGCTGCTGAGCAGGTAAGTGTATATAGAATTTTAGTGGGATTAGAGCAGTTGTTTTTTGTTCAAAATAGACATGGCTGCTTATAATTAGCAGGATAAAGAAATATACAATTGTTGAATGATGTGTGATTGTCAGACACCCAATTTCTAGGGATTTCTAGTCCTTATAGAATGAAAATACATTTAAATTTTGACTTTATCAATATATTCTTTTGGGATACATGCAGAGCTGCCAACCCTTACGATTTTGGCGTAAGGCGTACGAAATCAGCGTCAAAAATACGCCTTACGATTTCTCTCTATATTCTTCCGATTTCAGTTTTTCTCGTTCAAAGTATATAATACCGGTATTTTCATAGCTGGCAGTCTATAGTTTCTACTATTATAATATATTCATAATTCTTACAACGCTTGCTTGTTTCATCGTTTCGGTTTTAGAAGGCCGATCACATTAATGTCAATGTTTTAAAGTAAACATAATGGAAACATGCCTCAGATTACATGTCCATTTACAAAACATCTTCAGCGGCAGGGGGCCTAGGTGGTCCCTAGACCCCGCCTTACTATTTATCATTTCAGAATGTTGGCAGCTCTGTACATGCAAGGTTAGCTCAATTGGAAACTTGAAATTCTTTTCATACACTGTAAACCTTAAGCATCCAGACAGGACTTTCTTTACATTATTTTTGACTTAGAGGTCCCTTGAGTACACTCTGGATACAAACGTGGTTCACATATCTTTACACTCTTTTTGATTTACAGGTACCTTGAGTATGCTCTGGACACAAATGTGGTTCGCAAACAGGACGCTACCACTGTCATAACCTACATCTCGCGGAACACGATTGGCAAAGGCCTGGTGTGGAACTTCGTGAGACAGAACTGGGACCAACTCAGGAAAGAGTAAGTCATGTAGTATAAATAATCAGGCATGTTCATTTGGGGTTTTGTTGTGAACTGCATGTTCTTTTTTTAGCTCACCTCAACGAAGTTGGGGGAGCATATGTGATACCCTCGGTGTCGGCGTCGGCATCCCATGTTAAGGTTAAGTTTTTTGGAGCAGTTTTCTTTTTAATTACTTCTGTGTCCTATATTGATCAGACGTGCATGGAAGATGCTTCTAGTGTCTTTCACTGTACCAGTCCAAGATTCAGATGCTGCAATTTCAGCAAAGGAATGACCAGGTTAATGTTTTTGGAGCAGGTTAACATTTTTGGTGCAGTTTTTGGTGTAGGTTTCATTTCCAAGTAACTATATGCCCTATGTTGACCAAACTTGCATGGATGATACATCTAAGGATGCATACTACCAGGCTTGCTTCGGATGCTGAATCTGACGTACATTTTCCAGTTGAGTGAACAGGTCAAAGTTTTTGGTGCAGGTTTCATTTCCAAGTAACTATAAGCCCCATGTTGACCAAACTTGCATGGATGATACATCTAAGGATGCATACTACCGTGCTTGCTTTGGATGCTGATTCTGACCTACATTTTGCGGTTGATTGAACAGGTCAAAGTTTTTGGTGTAGGTTTCATTTCCAAGTAACTATAAGATCTATATTGACCAAACTTGCATGGATGATACATCTAAGGATGCATACTACCTGGCTTGCTACGGATGCTGAATCTGACCTACATTTTCCGGTTGAATGAACAGGTTAAAGTTTTTGGTGTAGGTCTCATTTCTGAGTAACTATAAGCCCTATGTTGACCAAACTTGCATGGATGATACATCAAAGAATGCATACTATTGGGCTTGCTTCGGATGCTGAATCTTACCTACATTTTCCAGTTGAGTGAACAGGTTAAAGTTTTTGATGCAGGTTTCATTTTCAAGTAACTATAAGATCTATATTGACCAAACTTGCATGGATGATACATCTAAGGATGCACTCTACCGGGCTTGCTTCGGATGCTGAATCTGACCTACATTTTCTGGTTGAGTAAACAGGTAAAAGTTTTTGGTGCAGGTTTCATTTCCAAGTAACTATAAGCCCTATGTTGACCAAACTTGCATGGATGATACATATAAGAATGCATACTACCAGTACCAGGCTTGCTTCGGATGCTGAATCTGACCTACATTTTCTGGTTGAGTGAATAGGTTAAAGTTTTTGGTGCATGATTCATTTCCAAGTAACTACATGTATGAGTTTTTTAATGACCAAACTTGCATGGATGATACATCTAAGGATGCATACTACCGGGCTTTCTTCGGATGCTGAATCTGACCTACTTTTTGTGAATGAGTGAAAATATTAGTTTTTGATGCATGTTTTATTTCCAATTAACTATGAGCCCTATAATGAGCAAACTTGCATGGACGATACGTCTTAGGATGCACATTAATGGACTTGCTTCGGAGGCTGAATTCGACATACATTTTTCAGATAATAGACCAGGTAAAAGTTATGGATGCAGGTCTTTTTCCAAAAAACTATAAGGCTTATATAACATTGTATAAACGAAACTTGCACAAATGTTGCATCAAGAGATGAAAACTCTCAAATTTGCTTCAGATGCTGGATTTTGATTACATTTTCATGAAGAAGAACTAGTTTAAATTTTTTATGTAGGTCTATTTCAAAGTATCAGATCAAAATTGCTTAAATATTTTCATTTTTGGAATGTACACTTTTTGTTGGTTAATTGTGTGACTTTGCCTTACTTAAAGACAAAATTCGTTGAGGTGAGCTCTGTAATCTCTGATTACCTATGTTTGTGTTTGTGAACACATTTGTTTTTTATGTGAGCAGATGTTTTTAATTTTATTTTAAAGGTTGAATGTTCTCTTTGAAGTTTCTGCTCTAGAAAGTTAATTTTCAAACTACTCTTTTCTTTTACGATTTGTTCTCTTGTTTTGTTGTGTATAAATTATCTAGATTTTCATTTTCATTTCCAAATTGTTTCATTAAATTTTCTGATAACACACTAAACTACACTTGGATGAAAGGATCATTCTACCTGACATATTCATTGCATTAAAATCTTACTATCCAGTGAAATGCATGACTTATTATTGAACATTGTTGGAATGTTGAATGTTGTACCTTTCACCAAGGCCAAGAAAATTATTATTTAGTTTCTGTGGTCAAATATTTCTCTCCAAAATTTAGCAGGCTGTGTTATTTTAATTGCAAGATTGATCTTTCTTTTTCCCAAATCTATAGTAATGAAAATGTGAAAAGCTCAGTTCTGAAAAAAATAATTTATTCCTCTTTTTAATGTTTGAAAGTGAATAGCACTCAGCTTAATGCAGCTGTACCAGAGAGACTAATTTTTTTTTGGCCTTAGAGTATATTAGTCTGCATGGATTCAAGGAATTTTATTGTTTATTAGAGGTACTGGTTAAAAGTGCATGATTTAACTTATTGTTGATTGTTTAATATTGATGATGATGTTGATGCTAATGTTGAAGAAGTTGATGTGAATGTTGTGATGTGAAGTTGATGTGTTTGCATGTTGAGCCTGTTGATTTTCTAGCTATGGTGGGGGATCGTTCTCCTTTTCTCGTCTTATATCTGGAGTCACAGAGTCATTTAATACTGAATTAGAACTGCAACAGGTACCTTCTACAATATGATAAAAAAAGATTTTAAAAAGATCATTGACATTAAGTCATTAAAGTATTTTAAACTTCATTGAACAAAATCATTCTCTAAATGTAAGTCAGCAAAAAGCACATGATGTGAAAATTTGTAAATTCTATACTTTCAACTTGAAGGACATTTAGATTGACTGGCTGATAATTTATTTAAAACATAGCCATTTTTCAATAGAGAGGAAGAATCTGACAGATGTATTTATTTGTTTTCAGCTGAAGGACTTCATAAAGGGTAGAGATCTGGGGTCAGCCACCAGGGCCGGGGAGCAGGCCATCGAGAAGGTCCAGGCCAGTGTAGAATGGATGAAAAAGAACCTCCCCATCATACAGAAATGGCTGGACCGCACGGCCCCCACAAAACAGGTCAACAGAAACGTTCGCCTCCCTCGCTCTGTACTACCGGAACTATACACCCTAGAACTCTTCCCAGACCTGTATCAACCCAACCCAAAAAATTTCACTTTCTCTGGAAATCTGACGCTCCTCGTCAACGTCACGGCAAGAACCAAGAATATCACGTTACACAGTAACATGATCACGATCGAGGAGAGCTCCATTGAAGTGAAGGCCGTGGGAGGGGGAGGTAACTTGTTCAGCTCGTTGTCTCGTGAGGAGGAACTCATGTTCTCGATCTTTAAGCTGAACACCGAGCTGGTACCGGGACGGCAGTATGAGCTGAGCTTGAAGTTTTCTGGTCCCCTTAAGGATGACTTGGCTGGTCTCTATTATAGCACCTACACCAGCAACAATCAAACCAAGTAAGATGTCACATTTAACAGTGTTCAGTGCATTTAGGGGTGGTCATCTCCAATGTTATCTTTAGATTCTGATAATACAGCTGAACTGTGGTATCTTGAACTCTGATATCTTGAATAACATGGATATGTCCAAGTGATGTGGAAGTCCCAACCATGAATTCTAAAAGTTTTTTACCCTTGATATCTCGAATCCTTGGATATCTCAAAGTTTTTTAACAGTCCCATCAGGTTCAAATTGCTTTTTTTTTTTGATTTGCTCCTTATTTTTCAGATTTTTGGCCACAACTCAGATGGAACCTGTGGATGCCAGAAAATCCTTCCCTTGCTTTGACGAACCTGACATGAAGGCCATGTTCAAGGTCACCCTGGTGCGACGAAATGATTTCAAATCCTTGTCCAATATGCAGATCCTAGAATATAAGAACAAGTAAACAAACAGTTATTAGCTCACCTCAACGAAGTTGGGAGAGCTTATGTAATACCCTCCGTCGGCGTCGGTGTCGGCGTCGGCGTCCCAGGTTAAGGTTAAGTTTTTTGGAGCAGTTTTCATTTTAAATACTTCTATGTCCTATATTGATTAGACATACATGGAAGATGCTTTAAATGTGTTTCATTGTACCAGTCAAAGTTTCAGATGCTGCAATTTCAGCAAAGGAATGACCAGGTTAATGTTTTTGGAGCAGGTTAACATTTTGGGTGCAGTTTTTGGTGTAGGTCTCATTTCCATGGAAGTATAAGCCCTATGTTGACCAAACTTGCATGGATGATACATCTAAGGATGCACACTACCGGGCTTGCTTCAAATGCTGAATCTGACCTACATTTTCCGGTTGAGTGAACAGGTTAAAGTTTTTGGTGCAGGTTTCATTTCCAAGTAACTATAAGCCCTATGTTGACCAAACTTGCATGGATGATACATCTAAGGATGCATACTACCGCGCTTGCTTCGGATGCTGAATCTGACCTATATTTTCTGGTTGAGTGAACAGGTTAAAGTTTTTGGTGCAGGTTTCATTTCCAAGTAACTATAAGCCCTATGTTGACCAAACTTGCATGGATGATACATCTAAGGATGCATACTACTGGGCTTGCTTCGGATGCTGAATCTGACCTACATTTTCCGGTTGAGTGAACAGGTTAAAGTTTTTGGTGCAGGTTTCATTTCCAAGTAACTATAAGCCCTATGTTGACCAAACTTGCATGGATGATACATCTAAGGATGCATGCTACTGGGCTTGCTTCGGATGCTGAATCTGACCTACATTTTCCGGTTGAGTGAACAGGTTAAAGTTTTTGGTGCAGGTTTCATTTCCAAGTAACTATAAGCCCTATGTTTACCAAACTTGCATGGATGATACATCTAAGGATGCATACTGCCAGGCTTGCTTCAGATGCTGAATCTGACCTACAATTTCCGATTGAGTGAACAGGTTACAGTTTTTGGTGCAGGTTTCATTTCCAAGTAACTATAAGCCCTATAATGACTTAACTTGCATGGATGATACATATAAGGATACATACTACCAGGCTTGCTTCGGATGCTGAATCTGTCCTACGTTTTCCGGTTGAGTGAACAGGTTAAAGTTTTTGGTGCATGATACATTTCCAAGTAACTATGAGTTCTTTAATGACCAAACTTGCATGGATGATACATCTAAGGATGCATACTACCAGGCTTGCTTTGGATGCTGAATCTGACCTACATTTTGTGGATGAGTGAAAATGTTAGTTTTTGATGCAGGTTTCATTTCCAATTAACTATGAGCCCCTATAATGAGCAAACTTGCATGGACGATACATCTTATTATGCACACTAATGGACTTGCGTCGGATGCTGAATTCGACATACATTTTTCAGGTAATGGACCAGGTAAAAGTTATGGGTGCAGGTCTATTACCAAAAAACTATAGGCTTATATAACATTGTGTAAACCAAACTTGCACAAATGATGCATCAAGGGATGAAAACTCTCAAATTTGCTTCAGATGCTGGATTTTAATTACATTTTCATGAAGAAGAACTAGTTTTAATTTTTTATATTGGTCTATTTCAAAGTATCAGATCAAAATTGCTTAAATATTTTCATTTTTGGAATGTACACTTTCTGTTTGTTAATTGTGTGACTTTGCTTTACTTAAAGATAACATTCGTTGAGGTGAGCTCTGTAATCTCTGATTACCTATGTTTTTTAATAAATCTTGGTGATTCTACATTAAATGCATTTTGTTTCTCTACTAAATTTCCTGAAATGTTTCTAAGGGAGAATAATAGTATTAAAAAATAATTTTTGCAGGGAAAATAACTTTGTGGCAGATGTGTATGACACAACTCCTCGAATGTCCACATACCTATTAGCTTTTATTGTCTGTCAGTTTGAGAAGACCACTACCACCACCAAAAATGGAATAATTGTAAGTTTTTCTTTTGAACAGCATGGTTGTACAAATATTTATAATAAATGTAATTGTCACCAAAAGTATAATTTTTATAGACATTTTCTAGAATCAAGCCTTTGAAGGTACTAATAATGGAAACTGTTTAATTGATAATATGAGATTGACTTCCATGCAGGTTATGATAAATCATTATAGGCACCCAAATCTGTACTGATTTTTTAGGACCTAGTTTTGTGGAAAACTCCTATACTTAAGATTTATTGATGCTATACATGGACAAAGTCATCATTTGTGGTGATGTTCTTTCTTGGGTTCAACATGACCCACAAAAAGCACAAACATTTTTTTCCCCATGAACAATGATGACATTGATTCCACAGTACATTTGATATCCAAGAATAAAATTGGAAAAAAGGGGAGTTGACTGAGGTGTTGGTGTTTGTCAAATTAATATGGAAAGGGAGAGGGGTATGCCAGAAAAAATAATAGTGAAGGCTATCTTTAAAATAATGTTTGCTTGCCCTCTCCCAATGCAGGGTAAAATTATCAGATCAGTAAGTACCCGGTAGGTGGATAAAATCTTTTCTCCAGAAAATTTAAACATATTTGTTGACTGGATAAGAGGAATAAAAAGAAAAAAATATCTTGTCTTGGAATGTAAAAAAAAAAGTTTAGAGTCAAGCCGTTTTTTACATGTAGTCAGTCGGTCAGGAGAGGGCAATCAAAATTTTTTTATAAAGATGGCCATATATTACATTTAAATTCCCGATTTGTCCATTACAGTACAGTGCCTGGTCTCTGCCTGAGGCCGTCAATGATACAAAGTTTGGTCTGGATGTCGGAAACAAAACCATCACTTATTATGAAGAGTATTTCGACATCCCTTTCCCACTGAAAAAACAAGGTACACTTGTATGTCTTTGAGATTTCTTTTATTAAGCATAATTGATATTCATTTTTTCTTATTAAATCCAAAGGGAGGATGGTTCCATTACAATTAAGATTGATTTTCTAGCCAGTATTTAAAAAAAATAAAATGGGAACAAAATTATACCTTGAAGGGTATGATTTGTATCACTCTCAGGGTTCGACACTAACTTTTTTACCTTGGTGGACCGCAGGTCCACTTGTCAAAAATTATTGGTGGACCACTTAATATCTGGTGGACCTTTATAAAAGTTTGAATTAATGAATGAATCATTACACAAGGCATTAATTAAAACTAGCTTTAATACCGGGTATATACCGATTCCAGACAGACCAATAAAGCATAAATCTTACCAGTCAACAGAATCAACTCAATATAAGGACTAGTCAGATTTTTCTTTTAGAAATATTGTTAAACTCTAAAAATAAAAACAATTAATCTACAAACCAAAGAAATATTTTAATAATTATCATTAAGTTACAATGGTGAAAACCTGCATTTATTTTGCTTCCACAGGCAGATTAAATTTAAAACTCCAATTATTAATTAATTTGTTCAATTATTAAACAAGTGAATTTTTCATGTATCCATGGCTAGATCATTTTTTTTTTACTACGGTGCAAAACTGACATAGGTACTTGTATCTGTATGAATAAATTATTTTCTAAAATTATTTATTCAAATAAATAGTGATATAACATGTATATCAAGAAAAGAAAATGAAACTGCAGTTCATTTAATGTAAATTATGCCTGTTTGAACATCTATTTAAAAAAAGAAAACAATGCATAAGTGCAGCTGTCAATCAATTCTAATTATCTCTAACAGTATGCGTTCAGGCGTGAAGCGATTTCCTGTTTAAATACCCAATGTAATTTTCACACCTTTCTGTGGTTCATTCTACCTATTCCCACTTTTTGAAAATCATGTAAGAAAAGGTAAGATAAAAGGTAAGATTTTATGTGGGAGTAGGTGGAATTTTGTTTAAACAAATAATTAACTATGTTCTTAAATTTAGGTATTAAGTTGCTTTTCTTGTAATATCATTTTATTATTTCAAAAATCCGAAATAAATCATATTTTCTCATACATGTATTTATAATTTTCTGTCTTAAAATGTACAAAATACAGGTAAATCTAAACATCTCTTCTTATTTGCAAGTGGGAATAGGTGGAATTGAGATTTTTAAAAAGTGGGAATAGCTAGAAGACTTTCTGTGCATTACGTAAACAGAGGAGAGACTGGCTAATTTGGCACGAATTTTTCATGCTTATTCAAGGTCCGTGTTGAATGTTTTTGCGTCTCAATAATATTGTTAATATTGGAGTTATCAATTTTACATGTAAAATATCGAGTTGCTTGCCCGCCCCCCCTCTCATTACCTAAACATTATTTACATGTATATTTAATTCTTGTATAATAAAGGTATGGAGGAATTAATAATTTGAGTTACGGATTTTGATTGAAAGAAAAAGAAACCCTGGAAGTTCACTTCCTTTTAATATGGTGTTAAAATTTTAAGTGGACCGACGGTCCACCTGTCCTGAACATTAGGTGGACCTTCCAATTTTTTGGTGGACTCGGGCCACCGGTCTACCGTTAGTGTCGAACCCTGACTCTGATTATACTTCATGGAATTTGCTTTATGGGGAAAATGTCAGTTCTTAACCTATAATTTAAATTGAACTTTCAAATATGACATTTTTTTCAGTTAAAACTTATGTGTAATGATTTGTTGACTACCTCATCTGGATTTACAGCTCCACTACAGTCATATTAAAAGTTGTGGGACTTTCCTCATGATCGTTTATCATTTATTGTTGAAGAAACTGACAGTTTATCAATCTTATGCTAATTTTGCTAATAATATTTAGTGATATTTTCCATATTCAGACATAATCGCTTTTCCTGAATTTGCCTCTGTGGACAGTCAATAGGTTCATTTTTTCAACATGTTCAAGTCCCTATCTAACCTTTTTAGGTCACCTGAGTAAACTCAGGTGACCTATTGCTATCCGTTTTCGTCCGTCGTCGTCCGTCGTGCGTCGTGTGTTAACATTTGAACATTTTCAGCTTCTTCTCTGCAACCGCTGAACCAGTTTCAACCAAATTTGGCACAAAGCATCTATGGGTGAAGGGGAACAAAAATTGTGAATTTCATGATCCCTGCCCCCCTGGGGCCTGAGGGGTGGGGCCAAAACCACTAAAATTAATGCAATCTTTAAAAATCTTCTTCTTTACTCCTGGACATCAAGCAGTCAAACTGTTTGCATGATTGTAATCAGCATTGAGTCCTCTACCAAAACTGTGAAATTCATGGCCCTGGGGTCAGGGGTTCTAGTGCTAGGGCGGGGCTAAATAAGTATATAGTGAAAATGCATTATTTCTTTGAAAATCTTCTTCTCTGCTCCTGGGTATTAAATAAACCAACTAAGTACATAGTTATGATGAGCAAGAGTGCCTCTACCAAAATTGTGAATTTTATGGCCCCAGGGTCAGGGGTTCTGGTGTTAGGGTGGGGCTCTATTGATTATATACAGTGAAAATACATGATTTCTTTGAAAATCTTCTTCTCTGCCCCTTTGTATTAAATAAACTAACTAAGTGCATAGTTATGATGAGCAAGAGTACTTTTACCCAAATTGTGAATTTTATAGCCCCAGGGTCAAGGGTTCTGGTGTTGGGGGGGGGGGGGGCACTATTGATTATATAGTGAAAATACATGAATTCTTTGAAAATCTTCTTCTCTGCTCCTAGGTATCAAATAAACTAACTAAGTGCATAGTTATGATAAGCAAGAGTGCCTCAACCAAAATTATGAATTTTATGGCCCCAGGGTCAAGGGTTCTGGTGTGGGGAGGGGGGGGGGGCTCTATTGATTATATAGTGAAAATGCATGAATTCTTTGAAAATCTTCTTCTCTGCTCCTAGGTATTAAATAAACTAACTAAGTACATAGTTATGATGAGCAAGAATGCCTCTTCTAAAATTATGAATTTTATGGCCCCAGGGTCAGGGGCTCTGGTGTTAGGGCGAGGCTCTATTGATTATATAGTGAAAATGCATTAAATCTTTGAAAATTTTCTTCTCTGTCTCTGGGTATGAAGCAGATGAACTGCTTTTATAGCTATGATGAGCGAGGGACCTAATCTTGCAGGACTGTGAATTCAAGGCCCCAGGGGTGGGGGGCTCTACTTATATACTGAAAATGAATTAATTGTTTGAAATCTGCTCCTTTATATTTATATAACATTTATTTTTTTTTTTTGGATAGGCAATTTTAAGGGTGCCTTTAAAAAATTTGTGCAATGTGTGGACCTAGGGTCAGGGGTTTATGTCACAGTGTTAGGGGCACTTCTGATTATTGCTGAATATTACTGATTAGTTGAAATGCAATATTGTTCCCCTACCCTGCGTATGGGTATTCAGTAACCAAGCTAAGCAACTGCTAAGTGTATTGTTATGATGATCAATGGTGCCTCTTTCAAAATTGTGAATGCCATATAGCATCTGGCTTAAAACATGAATCAAATTCAATAACTGGAAAGTTGTTGCATAATGCTCAGGTGACCTATAAGGCCCGTGGGCCTCTTGTCTGTTTTATTTACAGACATGATTGCTATTCCTGACTTTGCCGCTGGAGCTATGGAGAACTGGGGCTTAATTACGTACAGAGAGACCGCCATGTTGTTTAAACCAGGAGTCTCCTCAGAAGGAAATAGACAGAGAGTCACCACTGTAATTACTCATGAACTGGCCCACCAGGTAATTATAGCCACTGTTACAGAACTAGCTCACCAGGTCATTATAGCCACTGTAATTACCCACAAACTGGCTCACCAGGTCATTATAGCTACTGTTACAGAACTGGCTCACCAGGTCATTATAGTCACTGTAATTACTCACGAATTGGCTCATCAGGTAATTATAGCCACTGTAATTATTCACAAACTGGCTGACCAGGTAAATATAGCCACTACAATTACTCATGAACTGGCTCACCAGGTAATTATAGCCATTGTAATTACTCACGAACTGGCTCACCAGGTCATTATAGCCATGTAATTACTCACTAAGAGGCTCATCAGGTAATTATAGTCACTGTAATTACTTACGAATTGGCTCATCAGGTAATTATAGTCACTGTAATTACTCACGAACTGGCTCACCACTTACAAACTGGCTCACCAGGTAATCATAGCTACTGTTACAGAACTGGCTCACCAGGTCATTATAGCCATGTTATTATTCACTAACTGGCTCATCAGGTAATTATAGCCACTACAATTACTCACGAATTGGCTCATCAGGTAATTATAGCCACTGTAATTATTCACAAACTGGCTCACTAGGTAATTATAGCCACTACAATTACTCATGAATTGGCTCATCAGGTAACTATAGCCACTGTAATTACTCATGAACTGACTCACCAGGTAATTATATCCACTGTAATTATTCACAAATTGGCTCATTAGGTAGTAATGGCCAGTTTAATTATTTACAAACTGGATCATCAGGTAATTACAACTTGCAAATCAAAGCCAACTCGTCATGTAATTAAAGCAACTGTAAAAACCTTCCAAACTGGTTTATAAAAGTCACTGTAACTATTCACAAATTGGCTCATCAGGTAATTATAGCCAGTAAATAGAACTGGCTCATCAGGTAATTAAAGCCACTGTTACTGAACTGGCTATCAGGTAATTATAACCAGTTATCACTCGGGCTCATCGAGTGAACTTTGTGAAAATAAAAACCCTTTTAAACTCCACCCAAAATTTTGTATCAAGCAAGGATATACTTGATTTTCTCCGAAAACTGCTTAATTTTTACATAGGATTACAGTACATTGTATTCTTAAACAAATTACTTAGTCATGTACATACCTGTATATTTTATCATTGTGTTTTTTACAGTGGTTTGGTAACCTGGTCACTATGAAGTGGTGGGATGACCTTTGGCTCAATGAAGGGTTCGCGACCTTTGTCGAATATATGGGGGCAGATCATCTCTTCCCAGATTGGAAAATGGTTTGTTACCTTCTAAAGGAAAACATAATATGTCAGTCTAACTGTATTGCAATATTTTTATGACATGATAAACACAACAGTTTGGCTTCTGTGTCAATTTATCTGTTACAGTAAAGTAGGAGTTTGAAAAAAAATCATATTGTTGGAGTTTTTTACTGTATACATGAAACCTGATTTGATCTATGTTTACAAATGAATTGTCTACATTAGAGTTCATAAGGTTAATATCTTTATTGAAATGACATTATATTATATATTCAGATTCTTTCCTTTTCATAGTGGGATCAGTTTATTCTAAGTGAGCTGTATTCTACATTCAGCATTGATGCCTTTGTTACATCTCATCCAATATATGTGCCTATAAAAACAGTTGATGAAATGAATGCTGTATTTGATACAATATCATACTCCAAGGTTTGTAATAGAATGATCAATGCCATATGGTATGCACTTTTATTATCTCAATCATACTGATGTTTTACAGTATAACCAATGAAAAAGAAATTTGCTGATTCTCTGATTATATATCTCATTTCATCTTGTGACAGTGAATGCAACGTATTTTGTAAAGAAAGAACATTGGACCTGAAAAACTTTGAAAATCTGAAATTGGAACAACTGTGACATAAAAGAGATCTCAATTTTTCATCGATTCACAAGAATTTTTCTAGACAATATTTCTGTAATTTTTTAAAGCTTTTCTTTTTTTTTTCATTGAAATCAAAGTAGTCACCAAGTTTATCCTTGTTTTTAAGGGAGGAAGCATCATCAGAATGATGAGGTTTTTCTTGGGGGAGGAGAACTTCAGAAAAGGCCTCAATGTAAGTACTGGTGTATGCTGAAGAAATTTTGTTCTTAATCTATGTGTGGAAAATTTCTCTCTTCAGAGACCAAATTTCCTTTATGAAGCCTTGCTTGTTACAATTTTCTTTGCTGAAAAAGCATGAATACCTGAATGTCAAAAGTTCTAGTCCATTTGCAAATTCATATACATACTCTTCTAACTCTTTAATAAGAAGTAGAGAACAATTTTGTTTTCTTTGAAGAAAAATCATGGCAAATACTGTAAAACGTGAAAATTTGGCGCATACGTATTTTAGCGCAAACGCAAGTGGGAATGCATTGGCGCAAGTAAATTTCAGCGCTTTCACTTGTCATGAAAATATAAAAATTTGATAATTTGTTTTTTTATCCACACCCGTATTTGACTTTTTGGTTAGTCAAGCACGGAAACACAATAGCGCTTCCGTATATAAGTAAATATTCGTCAACTTTACCTTGGTGTCATGATACGGTGTTAAAATTAATTTTATTTTTATTTAAATTAAAAGCAGTGGAGAATTTATGCATTTTATTTAAATTAAAACAATGCATACACCCGAAGAAAGTTACTTGGATAAACGGTAATCATAATCAGGTATGTCTGGAAGCTCAATCGCCATGCTTGATTGCACTGTTTACCTCGAGGCGATTAGATGATTGACACGCCGAGAAGCCAAACTTTGAAGGTGCTAATGACTAAAATCAGGTACATGTAACGACTACCGGGGTATATAACAATAGTTTAATTAAATCATAATTTGGCAGAACTTTCTCCATTGATCCTACCATGTGCAGTGCAAGTGTGTTTATAAAAATCCAACGACCCTTCAACATTACGTAATCATGCCTTGCGGTTTAAATGTACATATGTAAAAGCTTTGAACACACACAAAAAATGATATTTAGAAATCTGTTAGCACACAATGAATTTTAGCGCTCAGGGGCTCTTGCGCCAAAGGCACTAAAATTTAGTAGTGCACCAAATATTCTCGTTTTACGGTATATTATTCTTCAATTAAAATCACTACAAGCAAGTTTACAGATACAGTTTATACTTCTGTTAGACAACTTATACCGTTTCATTATTTATGAAGGATGTGTTATTCTTTGCAGCTATATTTAGAGAGTAGGAAGTATGGGAACGCCTTCCACGATGACCTCTGGGATGCCATGGATACGGTGAGTTTCTTGATAAAATTTTTAGAAAAGTTAATAGAATGTCAAGGTCATTTTTGATTTCTAATGTCAAGGTCATTTTACTTCCAATACAAACTTCATGAAACTTTCTTTTCTACTCTAATTTGAATATAATGATTCTAGAGTAAAATGTGTTATCTTTCACACTGAATCTAATTTAGCATGTTTGAGATGGAGGCTTAAAGCAAACAAATCAAAATTTAGAAAAAAAGATGTTGATGCTGATGTTGATGCATATGAACTATTTTTCTCCAAAATACAGATTGTTCAGCAGAAAAATTTACAGTATCCAACATCAATTCGAGCAATAATGCACACCTGGATCAAACAAATGAACTACCCTGTTGTCACGGTGACAGTCCCACGAGATGGAGTCGTCAGGGCAACACAGAATCGGTTCCTAAGAAACCCTGATGCTAAAGATCCACTTGTTTACATTTCTCCATTTGGGTATGTCAGCTTTTCATTACTATGGGAAAAAATTTGGTTTTAGTCCACAAGAACTCTTTTTTTTTATATCATTGGATTGATGAATTGGTGAGATTTTTATGTAGACTTGTGGAGTGTTATGGTTAATTTTAGCTATAAATGGTGGGTGCCATTGACCTACACGACAAAGACAGAGAAGAATTTTAAAAAGAACAGCAATGATGTGAAATGGTTCAATACAACAAGTCAAGGTAAAAGATCGGACTAACTACACATACATGTATTTAACATTGCAAGGGGAATTACGGAGCAAAAATAGAGTTTAGAGCACGTTTGAGAGTTCATTTAGAAAATAAAACAAAGAATGATTAGAAAAATAGATAAAAATATCTTAAAGTTTTTATCTGCATGTCCTCATTCACATGCCACTTTTTTTGTATGCATTTGATGAAAGAATTTTACTTAAGAAACTAGAAATTCTTGTCTTTATGACTTCTTTATATACAAATTTTACTGAAAAAGGGTAACACTCCTTGAATGTGCAGATTTCAAATACATGTATTACAATACTGGATTGATTTTTGTGATGTCCATGATTTTGTTTCAGAATTCGCTGACCCTTCTGTGAAGACTTCTGATTGGATAATAGCTAACACAGACCAGTATGGCGTCTACAGGGTCAATTATACCGAGGCAAACTGGATAGCTCTGATAGCTCAACTCAATCAAAATCATACTGTAAGTACATACAGTACATACACAGGGGTATTTTTTTAAGTACATTAAAAAGTACATAATAGTTACTGTAGCTTATTAAGTTTCATTGATTTGATTATTATGATACATAGATACTTATGTTTTTGTTTGTGAATACAGGTCATATCCACTATCAATCGTGCTCAGATAATTAATGATGCCTGGAGCTTTGCAAGGTAAGAATAGCTTAACTTTAAAGAATAGTCTTTGGCAATGAGAGGAGAACATTTTGGTTTTAGCTTTTGTCTAAATGAATTAGATCAAACTGAAATTTGGCAAATTATTGACCTTGACCTAAAAGTGAATCTAGAACAAAGTTGAAGGTCACAGAGCAATGAATAACTGGGGATATAAATCTCAAATCCGCTATACAAAAATCTTTGAAATAAGTTTTAACTTATTAATTAAAACAATATAAGAATTATTTTCCTTACAGATCTAACCAGTTAGATATGAGTGTGGCTCTAGAGACAGTAGACTATCTATCTAAAGAGAGGGACTACATTCCCCGTCAGGCGGGGGAGGGACAGCTGGCCTACATAGACACCATGCTGTCTCTGACCAAGTACTACGGAGATTTCAGTGTAAGCTTTTAACCCCTGACAGCCATTGTACCCTAATCTTCTCTCATCATTTACTCCTTTCATAGTTGTGAGGGAAAAAAACTTGTCACTTGTTTAAAAGGAATATATTTTGTATGCATATTTTAACCACATTATTTTTTGCCATTTTACACAAAAAAAAAAATGGATGGCTTACTTTTTATTCACCCAGACACAGTTATGTTAAAGAGATAATGTCATTTGAATTAAGGCCATTCCAAGTTTTTTCTCTGTTTAGCGTTCACTCATATTTCAAAAGCCTACCTACTTATTCACAAAAAACACACAAGCCAAAACATAAAACACAAGCTTTAAAGTCATAAAAATGACGTTCTTCAAATGATTTGATCTAACTAAACTGCTTTAATAGAAGAAATATCTATTCTTAAGCAAAAACAACGGATGAAATGCTTACAATACACCCAATATAAGTTACTGTACAGAATTATTTGGAGAAATTTAAAATATTAAAAAATTTCGACTAAATTTATCAATTTCAGGACTCCTATTATGTGTTTTTTCTCATATGGGGTGTCAAAAACATACATGCCAACTTTCCCGATTTAGGCGGGATTCTACCGATTTTACCCTTTCATCCTGCCTTCCCGATCGGGAGAGAAAAATTGCCCCAATTTCCCGATTTGAAAAAATTCAGATTTTCAGTTTCCCTACCGCCAAATTTTGTCAATCGGGATAAGAATATCAGAGTTGTTTATTCAATGCACACAGACAAGTCTCATTGTTTACATAGCATGCAGAGTTATTAGCCACAGGAAATCACTTCTCGATTGAACGCACAGGCTGCTGTCCAGGTACAGGTAGCTTATAGCCTGGAGCAGTTAGGGGACTAATCTTTTTCAGTTTGAAGGGGTATGCGAAGTGAAACACATAGATTAAGGGCTTAATTAGTAGTCATTTTATTAAAAACAAAAATTAAAGTCAATAAAATGACAATCAAACAATAAAATTGGAATCCAAAAAGATCGTTTTTTTGAAAACGAAAGTAGAAAATTTCAAAGCATATATAGCTGCTGATTTTAACTGCTAATAATAAAAATATTGTATAATTTGTCAGTTTAAAAAAATATTGAAAATAATTTAGATTAAATAATACTCTCATGTTAGGTACACTGAATTTCTCCCCCCCCATTCTCCCATAGATCATACTCATATTGTACATTGTATTTCTTTGTTACATATATGTCGAGGAAATACCAGAGACCCATATGGCATTACCAAGACTGCAAAAGTTCATCATGTTCATAATGTAGTCTTTTACAATTTTAATTTTCTTTGGGATGGGTGGGGGTGGGGCTTGTGTTAAAAAAATCATGATTTAATTAGGCCTATTTCTCCAAATTGTTTTGTGTGAGAGATAAAATTAATCATGCACTGTCTATATACTTACTTTTAGGGAATCAAGTGACACTTGATTTTAAGGGTACATACCACAAACAAAATGTAAACTGATAGAACAGAGTAACACTATTAAGCAAAGATATTTAAATTTGGAAAAATAAAACTTTAATTTGTATTGTTTTATTTGTGCTGTATTAATAAGTGCTATCAATATTATAATTTTTTGAAAAAGTATTTCATAATCATTTATTTTCACGACAAAAGTCGCGAATTTAAAGCTTTGAAAATTGTCGTCACGCGCAAAATCCCCCATGAGAATTTTCAAAAGTTGGCGCAAAAAGCAAGGCGCATGCGGACGCTAAACATAGAAAAAACTTGGAATGGCCTAATCCTAAATTCTCTTCCTTTTAACTAGTGTAAAGAGGGCAAACTTAGATTATTCCACCTAATAAACAAATTTCATGTTTTATTGACATGCAGAAAAAGATGCAGAATCTAGTGAGAGACATTTACAATGAGATTGGTTTGAACAATACAGGAGCCACACATTTAGAATCGTAAGTCATTTATTAGTTAGTAACATGGTATATGATATGTAATTTGTAATTATCTATTTATTTCAGGATCAAGTTTTGATTTCAGAGAAGCTTAAACAAATGACAGAAAAGAGGGAAATTTAATATAATTGTGTGTACCCGGTATTTATTAACTTAGAGTTTGGATCGATGTACTTTTTGGATTATTTTCATCTGTTTTACAGGTATATGAGATCCAATGTTGCCATCACAGCATGCTCCTATGACATCCCCGAGTGTCTGGCTGCAGCTGTAGAACAGTTCAAACAGTGGATGGACCAGCCCAATAATAATCAGTAAGATTCATTGATTACTTATGAGTAGTCTACTATAGTTTTTATAAAAGGCATGTGAAGGAATTCACATGTCTGTCCTGCCTTATGACAAATCTTTTATCAGTTTAAAAACTGATAAAAATTATTAAATTAATGAAAAAATTTACTTGATAAACACTTTATAAAACTAATGTATCAGAAGGAGTTTGGTTTGTTCCTGAGTCAGACAGAAGCCTGATGGTAAAACAGGATTAGGAGAGACATTTCCAAACCTAAATATACAGCAAAAAAACTTAAGGGTGGGGTTTGGGTGGGCACCATAGTATACTGCTACCAGTCTGTCAATTTAACTTAATATTAAAGTTATGAAATAAGCATTTGATTTTGAGCTGTTACATGTATTAGTGGGTGTGTGTTTATATGTTTTTTAAGTTATCAACATTTTAATATTTTCCTGTATTTCTTTGTTCTACAGAATTGACCCTGGACTGAAATACACTGTCTACTGTACAGCCATTAAAGAGGGTGGACAGAAGGAGTGGGATTTTGCCTACAATCAATACAAAACCTCCCAAGTAGCCTCAGAAAGAGCCAAGATCCTAGCTGCCCTGTCTTGTACTAAGGTTCCCTGGCTTCTTCAGAGGTATGCGTAGTCAAACACGGCTATTAAAAAAAAGAATCACCATGCATGGTAAAATAAAAGTTTTTGGAGCTGATAAAAGTCATGTAACAGTAAGTTACTGTATCGGACACTATAATGAAGTGAAATTTGAGGTCATTTCTTAAATAGTAGGAAATGAAATATTAGTTCTTTTTTCAAATTTTCCATTTTTTCAAGTTCAGGTCAACTGACCTGACTGCTTGACAAATGGATAGTATCTTTTTTTTAAATCATCCAGATCTATAATTAGTTTGCTGTATTTTATCAGTTAAGATATGAAGAAAGATACAAGATATTCAAGCATATTTGATCTTTGTACATCTTTTCAGTTTACATTTTGATTTTATCCCTCAGGTTTTTGGAGTATGCTGTAACTGACGGTGAGGTCAGGAAACAGGACGGTACGAGTGTCATCTCGTCTGTAGGCAGTACGATGATTGGTCGACCCATAGCCTGGAACTTTATCAGATCCCGCTGGGATTATATCATGAATGAGTAAGTCATGTTTGCTTCTGGTCCAAGATGATATTATATTTGGTATCAGTTATATCAACTGACATACTAAAAAGCTTGTATAGTTTCTATTGATATTAATATTCGAGTTTCACATACATGTATATAGAGCTCAGTGTAAACAACGAAAAATTGTAACAGAAACCTACCCATGGAAGTGATCAACTATGTTTACATGATACACATTTCGAAACAGAAAAAAAAATTTGGCATACTATTAATTTTTTTTTTCGATCTCAGCCACAATTAAAAATTATGTTTCTGGAATACAACATCACTCTCAGTTTTGGCTATAAGACAAAATGTCTTCTATGTTTTATAGATACAGTGAAGGGCAGTGGAATGCGGGACGCTTTATTAAGAGTATTTCTGGAGCATTTAACACGGAGTACCAGCTACAACAGGTATAAACTATAAATATATACAGGAAATGAAACTATTATTATTCTTAAGAGAGACTTTTATGAGAACTTTTTTACCAAGATGATGCCAATTCTATTCTTTTTTTTAAAAAATCTTTTCAGACATTTATTTATAAAATGGCACCGGTATGACATGAAGTTGAAATAAAAATAGAAAATGCATTGTATCCATTTAATGTCTTTCGCACCAATGCATGAAAAATTCAATTTTTTTTAATCTTTGGAATAACTTCGCACATTTTTTTTTTTTGAATTTACAAAACAGCAGTTAAATTTTTTTTTTTGGAATTTATAAAACAGCAATTCAGTGATTGGGAAGGCCAAAATGGTCAATGGGACTATGGCGCAACTGTCAACATTTTTGATGGGCCATTTCGAAAATAAATGGGCCATCAATATAATCTGAAGGGCCATTTTAAAAAATAACAAACTGACAAACAATATTAAATACGAGAGAAAACACGTTTTTAATTGACCAAATCTGACTTTTAACACATGCAATGCAGCAAATTTAAAGGAACTTCCTTAGAATATAACTAATCGTATTTTGTGTTAAAATTACGACAGTTATGGAAAGAAAACAGCCTTACAATACAATTGAATGAAGTATTGTGCCTAATGTAAGTGCTTCGTTTAACCGGAAGTACTTTTTGACGAGGTTCAACCAATGAGAATTGTTGTTTTAAATTGACTTCATTTAAAAACGAAAGTAAAACAAGAAAGAAAGTCATACGCAAAATATTTCCAAATAACATCGATAAAAATTAAATGCGCACCTTGGCGCAATGATTGATTAATTTAATGCGCCATTTTTCACTTCAATGCGACTATAGCGCGTGGTGCAAGCCCTTTCCAATCACTGGCAATTATAAAAAGTAAAAAAAAAAGAAGTGAGGGGCTCTTAATCAGTATGAAATGCTAGTACATTGTATGTTTGAAAAGCACAACACCAGAATTGTCAATCATGTCGAAAGATTACAAGAATCTTGTCTCTTTTTTTCCCCAGCTGATTGATTTTGGCAAAGCACACCCTGATCTGGGTCGTTCTGCCCGCGCCTATGACCAAGCTGTAGAGGCTGTTCAATCAAACGTTCAGTGGATGAAGAAAAATATGAACATTGTCATTAAATGGCTTGAGAAAAAATAGAAAATGACTTTGCTAAATAAGTTGTTTTATTTTAAAAGACTTACATTACCATCATTTATATATATATTTTAGCATTATTTTGTGTGAGTCCAATAATCAGATTTTTAAAGGAGAGAAGCATAAGCTTATGTTAATACCTCGTAGTTTTTTTGGTATATTTTAAAATTCTGTTTAGAAAGAATTTCATGTGTGACTGTAGAAATGAAATGCATGTCTGTGTTTTCTGAAAGTAAGGATGATGTTCATTCATTCGATATTAGTTGCTTATGTTATGCTTAATATTTCAAACTGTGTATGTACTGGTTATTAATGTACAATAAATTGTTATACATGTACCATTATATTTTAGAAGTATTTTAATTCCTAAGGCTTTTAATTACCAATATTGAATTGGAGCTTGAAGATTGATAGGATGTACAGTGTACATGTAAAGCCCCTTGTTCCAAGTTTAATGAACCAAAACTTTGATCTTGACCATGTATTCTGTATGGTTGGTGCATTGTTTTTCACATTTGTCTTTTTGTGATAAGATTTTTAGGGGCCCGCAAGGATTTGCGGGTGCCCTATAGTAATCACTCTGTCTGTCCGTCCGTCTGTCATTCATCCGTCCACAAATTTTCTGTTTTTTTTCTAGTAACTTTTTTTGTGGTTGCCCAATTAAGTTCCAATTTGGTATGGTAGTTCAGTAGGCAAAAAGACATATTTTGATGCTAAGTTTGTTTTTCTATGTCCTCTGGTTTGGAGCTGGGGTGGTGGGGTAGATTCCTTAACTTTATATAAGAATGAATTGGCAAAGAGAGATAATTTCTGAAAATGTTCCCATTGCAAACTGAATACTGCAAAGAATGAGTCCCTTGGGGATTAATTAGCTTTCCTCCTGAAGAAAATCCAAAGCATTATCTTTATCTGTCACATTGAGATTAATTACCACCTCTGTCTGCAAATGAAGTTTGCTTTGAAGATAAGTCCATTTGCAATGCTATGAACACTCTGAAATGTGGATTGAAGTATAAATGTTTTTACTTTATTTTTGTTGAAATACCCTACACAATGAGTTCTGATTTCATTGAATTCTTAAAAACCAGAAATAGATTAAAGAAGATATATTTTTTTTATTTTTATTTTTATATTTTTTTTACTTTTTTCTTGCTTCAAGTAAATTCAAGAAGATTATTAATTTTTAAGGTAGTAGGATAAAAACTTCATTCTATCATTACTGAAAAAGTTCTTATTATAAATTAAGAAAATGATGAGAGAGAAATACAATTAATCCCTTGGGATTAATTATTTAGTCTGCTGCAGAAAATTTAGAAGGCTTATATTTATCTGTCACTTTAAGATTAATGAAAACCTTTGTCTGCAACTGCTGTTTGTTTTGAAGTTAAGGTCAAGCCTTCATAATATGTATGCGTTCATTGAAGGCTGGCATTTTATATAACACAGGCTTCATTATTGTTTAGATATACATTCAGTGTTGAGTTGTTCTTTACTGCCTTATGTAAATACAAGGATATTATTTTACAGGTTTTTGAATGTTCAGGAATTATCTTGAAATTTCAAGAATACAGTTGCTGTTTCTTATTTGTCATATATTTTTGAATCATTCCATAAGCTGCACCCTTATAATTCTACCCCATGGCGGGGCCCTTGCTGACTGGTCAGTTTTCTAGTTATTGAATGTCAACATTAATTCATTGATTTTTGACCACTATTTGAAAAAAAAAACTTTTACCTTGGCATTCAGCGTCCATATAGGGGCATCACCCCCCCCATTAATGCTTCACAATCACGTCTTTATTATAAGTAGGATTTCCTGTTCATTGGAAATTACATAAAACAGTTTAAACACAAAATTGAAAAGTTGTAGGTCTTTAAATTGAGAACTTGAAAATGAATTGCCCTTGTAATGGTAGGCTTAATTAGATAAGAAAACCTTACTGATAAATGGACCTTATTGCTTAATAAAGGTATCAGTATATTTTGGTATATGTGGGTAAATATATTCTCAGATGGGGCAAAAAACAGCAATCAATCAGCTAAACTGCACTCTGAATAGGGAGAACAGTGACATAAATTTCAAAAATCTCTTCCTTTGACTCATCGCAGTTAAATATTTCGCAAAAAAATTGTATAAATGAATGTAGAACATAAAATTAAATGTATTGTACATGTCACCGACGACATTTAGTGCTGATGCTCAAAGTGTTGCCATCTCCAGCTCTTATTGTCATTGCAATTGGTGGCAATATGTACAGGAGGACAAAAGGTATCATCACAAGTTTTAACTAGTGCTAATTGTAACGGGAACCGTTACAGATGTTCCCCAAACGCTCCCCAACTCTCTTTTGGTGCCATATTCCCTGTAAGCCTCATTAAATTAGACAAACTCTGTGCATTGTTGACTTTAATAACGTTTTCCCAAAAGGATACCAATTATATTCAAATTTTAGCATTGCACCCAGGCGTATGTGAATGCATGTGCGTTATGACCATATCATCTTGTCTACACTATCTATATATTTTAATATACTGTATATTAAAGCATTCAGTCCAAAAGTAAAAAAAATCACTCATTCAAGTGTATTTTTAATAATACTTGTTACAAATGCACGCACGTGCGTGCACGTGCATGATGACCATACCTTCTTGTAGGAGTCCCTGATATTCATCTATGTTCTAAATCCCATCCTGTTTGGTTGAAAAACAAGGAAGTTATAGCTATTTCAAGTTTCAGCCAATCAGATTGCAGCACACGTGCATGCGCGTGATTTTATGAATTTTTTCTATATCATATTGTAGGATATCCTAATTCATGACTATATTTTAAATTTCAAAGAATTTCGTCAAAAAACAAAGGAGATATAGCCATTTAAAGTTTCAGCCAATCAGATTGCAGCACTTGTGGATTTACGTGATTTCATGACAATTCTTATATATCATGCTGTAGATCTTCATAATGTAGGAATATGTTCAAAATTTCAAAGGATTATGACAAGAAACAAAAAAGATATTGAGACTTTAGTTTCAGCCAATCAGAGCGAAGCGCACGTGCATGCGCGTGAGATCTTGCTATTTTGACCATGCTATCTTGTCTATACCACTAATGTATCCTTACATTATGAGTTTCAAAAAATTTCATCAAAAAATAGAAAAGTTACGGCAATATCCATTATATTGGTCATTTCAAGTGCTGCACGTGCGCGCTCTTGCAAGCACGTGCACGCAAAATGACCTTCGTTCGGCAGCTCTACATAACATGCCTACTAACCCTAAAAAGGTTTCACCTAAGTCGGATGTGTAGTTTACAAGATCACTCGTGGACAAAATTTTCCCAGGAAGAAGAAAAATAATAATAACTAGAGCAAAGCTCGTTGCAAAGCAACGAGTAGGTCTTCCGTCCTGTTTTGACCGGATGTGATTTCAACAAATGAAAGCAAATGAGCTAAGTGGTCTCCATTGACTTTATAATTTTGATTTTGTATTTAAACCTTCAAAAATAAGCTATTTTTGGCTACTTCCGGTTTGACCGGAAGTGATGTCAACGGACAGAAAATGAAGGTTTATGCTTCCAGATACATATGTTACGCAAAAATATGTCAACAACGGCAAAAATATGCATATTCTGACGACTTCCGGTATGACCGGAAGTGACGTCGCCGGACGCATTTTGTCGACTTCAACAGATTAAGCTTGACATTTTGAACAACTTTGCTTTTTAGACGTATAACAAATTCTCAATACTTTTTGAGATATAAATGAAAAACTTTCGGCCCCTCTAGGTCCTTTATTTTAGGGGCCAGCCCTTTTTACGAGATATTATTTGAAAGATCATGTAATTCTACACTTCTTTTGTTCT